TTGTTTTTTTCTTTATCGATTTATGAATTTCGAACAGCGGTATACTACTATTGCCTTTATTTATATAGTTTTGAAGGTGATACAATGTGATATCGGCTCGTTTGATAAATGACGTCCTTGCATTGTGTTATCAAGTGACATTTTCAATGACGACATCCATCAAGCTATCTGTTATCAGTTCCAGGTTTGTGTAACTTGAAGAATATCAAGATTTCCGAAGATTTTCTAACAATTCAAAGTGGTAACCTCATCACTTTTTTTTTTGGTCACATGTCTTATCATAGTTGTGCAGAAAACATTTCGATAAAGACACTCTTGGTAATGTTTGCATAAGTCAAAATTTTGGGTATTTTGTTAATTTGCACAGTGGTTATATTACTTTAACACAAGGACAGCCATTACAATAGAATTTATCTATATCCCTTCCTAATAAGTCTGTTTAAAGGTTTTGTTAGCTTTTGAGGTGAATGCCGACATTTTTGTGCTTTATAAAGAATATTACCATAAAAAATTGGATGTGAAATACCTGAACGTATAAGATGTCTGCATGTTGAATTATAGTTACGAATGCTGTCCTTGTACCGATGATAAAATTTAGTAAATGTTTTGACTAGTTTGTGATATCGAAAACCCTGGTGTAATAATTTTTAAGTAATACACAAATTTCTCTTGCTAAAATCTGATACGTTGTTAAATACACGAGCGAATCTTACAAGTTGAGATATATAAACAAGGGAACGTAACTTTCTAAAATTGGATAATTAACGATAGGAAATGAAAAATCATCTCTTTTATCATAAAGTTTGGTATTGAGTTTCCAGTTAATGATATAGATATCAAGATCGAGGAAAGGGCAGTGTTCATTATAAGGATTAGCTTTATTTAAACTTAGCTCAACAGGATACATTTCTTTAGTATACATACTGAAGTCGTCATTATTGAGAGCCAATATATCATCCAAATATCTAAAAGTATTGTTAAATTTTTGTATCAGATGTTGTTTCGATGGGTCTTTACCGATTTTAGTCATAAATTGTAACTCATAACACTACAGAATCAGCTCCGCAATAAGTGGTGTACAGTTTGTCCCCATTGGAATTCCGATAACTTGACGATATACGGAATCTCCAAAGCGAACAAAAATATTATCTAAAAAAAACTCAAGGGCAGTTATAGTATCAAAGCATGTCCAACTGACATAGTTCTTTTGTTTGTTGTTACTAAAAAATGACATAAAAGAGTTTGAACATATGTATTCGCATTCTGACTTTTCAAATGCTCATTTAATTAGGTGAGTGAATTTTTTCTTAATAAGAATATAAGGCAAAGTGGTATATAGGCTAGAAAAATCAAAACTTTGAACAGATTCAAAATCACCAATATAAGCATGTAATTTATCAAGTATTTCCAACAAATTTTTGACAGTCCAAAAGTAATTAATTCCACTATTTTCAAAGGCCTGATTTGAATAATTCATTATTAGGTTTTTAATTGTACCAAGTGTACTAGGTTTTTTGTGTAGCTTCGGAAGCCAGTACATAGTTGGAACTTTCATTGTATTTGGTTCTGCTTGTAAAGAAGTAGTTAAAAGTTTATGTCTGTTACAAATGTCGTTTTCCGAAAATGGAGTCAGTTGGAATGTTGGTAAATTCGTGATTTCCTTTTGCAAAACCTCAATGTAAAATTTACGTCAAACAATAATGATATAATTAGCAGCTTTATCAGCCGGGACAAAAATAAATTCCTTGGCGAGTTCTTTTAGTTTATGTTTGGTACGAGAAATAGTGTTTTATGGTTGTTGTTAGAGTAAAATGTTCTTTAAAATGTTGTATGCGTATATCAACTATGTGCATTACTGAATTAAAAAAAGAGTCCAAAGATTTCTTGTCAGCTTTTTCTCGTTTTATCCATTTCGAACAATAATTATGGAATGAGTCGTGGATGATATTACGACACTCATTCCAATTAATAATTGACGGGGGAGGTTATTTAGGTCCTTTACTTAGGAGTGATTTCAACTCTCGGTCACGAACGATGTTAAGGTCTCCCGTTATAACATGGGAACTGGGGCCATATATGTATTCGGAATTGCTGCAATTACATGACATAGATGAATTGTTACTGATAGTTACATCTTTACACACTTGGATATAATTAAACATATATTTCCGAGTAGATTTTTGTAAACATATCAAATAAGAGGGAGTTCAGTATTATCAAAATTTCCAGGAATTTGTTCTTTAACAGAATGATCATTAAAATACCGGCAATATTTACAAAATCAAAACCTTTATTGACATACTTGATTTTAATAAAGAAAAAATTATAATCTTCAGGGCGATCAATTTTTGGAAACAGTTTAGAATAATAATATGCCATTCTAATTTGAACGATTTCATACTTAGGACTGCAATATGGAATTGTGTTGCAATCCTCTAAAATTTTATGTAATTTGTTTACAGGTAAAGAACAGAGCTTGGTTAACAGATAATGTCTACCGTTGTTTTTTGAAATAGAAATTAGGTCCGAAATATTTGTATGGTTGGTTCGAAATTTTCTTTGATTGCAATGTTTTCTACGCCCATGAGAACGGTAGTTTAAGGACCAATACAGTTACAGACTAGATTATCCGCAAATATTATTTGATTTATATTTTCAATGTACGATAAGGGAGGTAATTTAATTACAAAGGTCAATGTCACGTGGTGCAATTTATAAGAATACTTATGATTTTGCCATATGTTGCGAGCGGAACTCCTGGTCAATTTCAATGAATGACTTCATAATACACTGACGTCATTTATCCATCCCCGCATTTCGACATCACAGATACTACCTGAAAACCGTACCTGTACTACTTATTGCAACTAAGTATGAACTGATGAAAAATCTTACAGAAGAAGTTAACATCATTGAATGTTTTGCACGAATTTAATTATCGTGTACTAGATAGCTGTGTTTTTCATGAGTAGCGTTGGTTTCTTTAAAATTTAATCGCAAAATTAAAAAAAATGATCAAGATAACAGTTGTTATGGTTACGTCATTTTGACAAAATTCGGTAAGAACCCAAACAGACATAATGGAAGCGTCACTATGGTGATTGTTATTGTTTTTTTTTTATACATGTATGTCATGTTTGTTTTTTATGGATGTCAAGTTGGTTTATTATTCAACATTCAACATTCAAACTTTTATTTTTGTTAAACAATTTTTTTTATCAAAACTCATTTTAAACATTCAACATTTGTTTTTAACATTCAACATTCAAACTCTAATTCGTTTTCATTGAAAAAAAAGTTTGAATGTTGAACGTCGAATATTGAACCATCTTGAATTGGCATCCATATACTTTCAGGCATTACGCGGTTATTTATTTTCGTGGGAATCGTTTTGCACCTTATAAGTCAGGAGTGAAGGAACCTTTTATAGCCGACTATAAGGTATTAGTTTTTCTCATGGTTGAAAGTCTTTGATGGCCTATAATTTCTAACTACTATTTCATTACCCTAGTGGATAGTTAGTTCATTAGCATTGACATATTTAGATCCAACAGCAAATAAGTGTAAAGGTAAATAACAGACACATAACTGTTTCAAGGCTTGAATGTTCACTAATTTTGTGCAAAATGTTTCAGATTGTTAATACAAATTAAGTCTAAGTATATTGTGGTGACGGAAAGATAATTCAAACGTGCTGCAGATTAATCTGTATTTTTTCATGAAGTTTCTGTCAAACGCAATAAGTACATGCCATTATTCTCTCATTTCTCTTTTTTGCTTTATGATGAAACACAGATAACACGGTTGCAGTTCTGGAAACAGCAGACTTGAAAATATCGTATCGTTTTATTTGATATCTATAGTAAATGTTCTGCTCGGAGATCACACAAACATTAAAAGATAATAATTTTAATTCTAAATAACCAACAGATTATAAAATGATTATATGTATTAAAGGGAACAAATGAAAATCATAATTTCACAATTGAGCATTTCTTGTATTCTCCAGTTACGATAGCCAATTAGATAAAAAGTCGTTTACCGATGTACCATTTTTATAAATCCGTTTAGAATAAAGTTTAAAGCAGGAATCGCATGCACAACTAGAAAAAAAAGTTAAAAAAAATCGTCAAAAGGCTTTTATTTTGTTCGCTAGACGAGTATTTTATCTACAACGGACTGACTAGTGACGCTCGAAAAAACTCCAACTTTATCGGAGTGAATCCAGGACGCGCAGTAAACAAAACTACGAGCACGACTATCTTACAAAGAATAAAAACTTGATTTGTTTTTTTGCGCACACATTTTGTACTCAGAGTACTGAATAATTTTATGAAAGAATACCCTGGTGTGGCGACAGTGTATTCGTTCTATGCATTTTCACCCGTCGTGCACATCAACACTTAGGTAAAATGTCATAACTGACATACGAAATTACTTACAAAATGTACTGATTAGACGACTAGTATTGTATTATTTATCATTTCTGAACAATGAAGACGGCATAAGTATGTTTCTGGTGCGTTCAGATACAAGCATACCGCATCAGTCAACCAGTTTGTGTCCACAACTTTTCATTATTTTCGTTCAACGTTCCTGGTAACTCTTTTTTTTTGTGTCGGGGTCACATCTATGTTATTGAAGTTTATAAAATAAAACCACTGACGAGCATACCGTATCATTAGAAACAATTTAATTGGCATACGATTTGACAGAAGGATGTTACTGCTTGGATATTGGAGGTTAACAAATCATCACTCTTGTCATTATTTTTATATATATATATATCATTCTTTTTGTGAGTTTAATAGCATTTAATATGATGTATCATAATTTAAATGTTTCTATTTACAACTCACAACAACAAATAAAGTACTTATAGTTTATGTCTGACGGTTATATGGGGTCATATGTTTTACATAAGAACGCATAGTTTGATTTTGGTACGTTTAAACTTGTCTTCTAGCTTCATTGAATCAAGCATCATTTGTTTGAGATGTTTATCTTTCTTTTGCATCTCTATAAAACAAATTTGTAAAGCATTTATTCTTGTTTTTCGAAATAATTTCGTTAATCTTCTTAAATAAGGTTGCAGATACTTGAAATTGTTCTTCCTGAGAGAGAGGATTCTTTAGAGCAAAATATCTACCACTGCACTTTTCAATATATCCTGAGAGTAGTGGTCCCCCATCTTTTATGAATTTGTCGATCGTACTACCTTCCCTTTCCAAATCTTCAATCCTGGTAAATACTATCATACAAAATCGGCCCATGTTCTTTCCAAATATGTCAAAGAGTTGATCTAGTGTTGAAATTTCTTCCGTTGTTAATCTTCCAACTTGCAGTAAAATAAGGAAAATGTGATGCCCAGGAACTGACATAGTAACGCATCGAATAATTTCTTTTTGGATTTCTTCAGGCGACAGTTCTGTGTCGAACAGTCCTGGAGTATCAATTACAACTAGTTTCCTTGCATGAATATCTGATTCTGCACGACAGCACTCCTTGGTTACAGAAACGGGATTCATTGCTGTAGAAAAACTTTCCTTACCAAGCAATATATTGCCCGTTGTGCTTTTTCCCGCACCTGTCTTACCAATCAAAACTACTCGTATTTCATTTTTAAAGCCTGGAATACAAAGCTTTAAAATAATCATTTGACGAGACAAAAAAGATTTAGGAATGATCACATCCTTATTAAGTAACGTTTCTCAAGGTATGTATTTAAGGTTATATTTCTCTGTAAAGCTCCCAAACACACTATGTGATAATCAAATAACAAACATATAGAATACTGCAAAAGAAAACATCTTAGGACAAAAATGATTATCTTGACACTGTCGTTATTGATTTCGTTCGAAAATTTTCATCAAATATGGGAATACCTTTTAAACGGTTCCAGCTAATAAGTTACCTCGCTAATATGCATTTGAATTACCAAACGAAAGCCTAGAATTCCAAAATTTAATACACTATTGCATAAAAAAAGGGAACGTAATTTGTTAGCTGGTTGCAAGGTTGTTTACCAAATTGCTGTTCTTGATGATTAAGCTTGAAACTATGTTATTTTAACATTATTCCTTAACACAAATAGCAAAGATTTTGTGAAACCCTTGAGTTGTTAGGTTGTTGAATATTAAATAAATTACTATTATCAAGTTGTGATATCAAGGACTCAGAAGATTGTGGTGGTCCAGTTAATCGTATTGTTGGAAGCTGAAGCTCAGGACTTTTGTCGGGGATTATGTAACTATTACCAGCCGACATTGTAGTATATCTATCGTCAACGGTATCTACAACAAAGAATCACAAAATAATTTTAGCTATAGTTACGTCATTTCTTAATGCTTTTGAAGATTTCCAAAAAAATAGAAACTTATATTGGTAAACATTTATTTTTAAGCCATGGCGTTGTCAGTTTATTTTCGATCTATGTGTTTGACAGTCCCTCTAGATCTGGTATCTTTTGACCCTCTTTAATGATAATTCTTAAATTGTCTACGTTGTGTTCTGTGTACTGCTGTTTACTGATTGTTGTTTGTCTTTTGAACTTTTAGCCATTGTGTCGTCATTTTATGTTTGACATGAGTTTTAATGTTCCCTTGGTATCTATCGCATCTATTTTATTACAGATTATCCCCGAACTTGGAAGTTATGTCTGATCTGTTAGTCATTTTGAACAAAAAGCTATGTTAACTAAATTAAAGTATGAGCTGACTTCAAATGTAAGAAAACAATGCCTAGCTGATATCTTTTTATGCATGACCTTTATAACTATATACAAATATTAACGCTAAAGAACTTTGTGGTGACAACATAGTCCACTGAAGATCTTGACATATTCTTTTTTAAATATTTACGTCTTCCTAAGTTTGAATCAATGTGGGAACTGATTCTTGAAACTAAATTTTAAATGTATTTACATTTCAAATAATAGATAAACCAACAAACAACCAATTATAGTATAAGTACAGCAAGACACCCTTTAAGTAGAATAAAAGAGTACACACGAGTAAAGAAGGATGTACAACCCATTAAAACAATACAAGATTATGTTACAGGTATTTACTTACCATATACATCATCATCATTAGACTCTTCTGTTGATTGGCTGGCTTGTATGTTTAACACAGGTTTCATAGGATTCTGCCTTAAACCTTAAATGTAATACGAAGGACCTTGTTATGGTCTTATTAGCTAAAAGACCAATCTTATATGATTAAAGACACCCTAAATTTGTGACAATATTAACAATGCACATTAAAGAAGCCTTGTCTCTGGTTGGTGTCGCTAGGAAAGGATACTTAATTTCGTGGTTTATCTGTACCCACGAAAACCACGAAAACTGGTAACCAACGAATAATAATGAATCCACAGTACACTTAATACCTTTTTCAAAAATCTTGTCTTTTTGAAAATTACAATAACAGTAAAATAAAAGATGTATATGAACCAAAACAGTAGAGCTATATTACCGAAAAGGACATTAAAAACAATAGCCAAATCAATCTAAGGTAAATTATGCCTCAGGAAGTTGAAACCAGTCAAAATTTAATAAGAATGTGAGGAGATGAATTTTTTTATATACTTTTGGAACGAATAGTCAAACTTTGTCAAATTTATCACCACACAACGGACATTATTAGTGCAATTCTACAACAATTAAACTAATGGGGATAAATTTTTTTTAATGTATATATGAGAAGCATAATTTTCAGCTTTGATATGGAGAGAGATGGACACCTCAAAATGAAAACAATGTGAGAAACCCCAAATGATATACAATAGACTAAACTAACAACCGACACTTCAACATGTGACAGGAATAATTTAGTGCTTAAGATATCTATCTATCATTTATTTTGTGGAATAATGCCTATACAGAAAAGAGAAATATACTTATTGAAGCCTTTTTGCGATTGACACTCCTAGCTTTAGACTGAGTGTGATCCACTGATAAAACTTTTGGAATGTTGCTTTGTAGAACGAAATGCAGAGGAAGGCAGAGTACTCTGACACAACCACCGACCTTTGACGAAAACAGATGTTATCATAGTCAAATAAGATTTGGGTGAAAGCCTTTGAGATTCACACCAACAATCTTAATGTTTACAGATTAGTAATATAGTTGATTAATATCTTAAACCACTCAGTTTTAGAAGCCCCTCTAATTATCGGATAACTCGGATTGGTTGTAGCGACAGGGTAAGCGTTGACTGTAAATGATGCATCTATTGACATGCGAATGTACATTCAGTTTACATCGAATCAATATTTCTTGATGTTTTTACATTTTAATCATGAACAGATATTGTGTGCTACCAACAAATAAGGAAGTGGGAAAAAAGATCGGATATTATTACGGGAACCGATCATTTCAATAATGAAAACAAATTAAATAATTTGAAAGCTAAAATTAAAATAAAGATTATTACGACAAAAAAGCCGAAGCAATTAGAATTATAGGTCTACGGTAAACTGGTTTGAGAAAGGAGAAAAATCTACAGGGTACTTTTTTAAACTCGAAATGAGAGGGGCGCAGAAAAATGATAGACTAGACTAAAGAGCTCAGATTGAAGGTACACAGATGATATAGAATCTATTCTAGACGAAAAATCGGCTTTCGACAAATATTTATGTCTAAGGGGTTAGATAGTGATGCTGCAGAAAATAACAGAATCTAGATCATGAACTAAGGGGAAAAATAAAACAAATGTATGAAATAGAAATAACTTTGGATGAAATAAGAAAGGCCGTACAAATGTTGGAACTTTATAAATGCCATGTCGAAGACGGAATAGTGAATGAGTCTAGATAATGAACTAAGTGGAGAAAATAAAAAAAATGTGTGAAATGGAAATAACTTTGGATGAAATAAGTAAGTCAATAAAAATGTTGGAACTTGATAAATCCCATGGGGAAGACGGAATAGTGAATGAATTTCATAAAACGTTTAGGTATTTGATAAGTGACGACTTCGTGGCTGTTATTAAGGAAATTTCCGACAACAATTTGCTCTGTAAAACTCAATACAGAGGTATGTAACGTTTATGTTTAAATCTGGTGAGAGAGAGAGGACATACAAAAATTGCGTCCTATAACGCTTTTTAATACGGACTATAAAATCATATCTAAAGTACTTGCTAGAAGGTTAAAAAACGTACTATTAGAAAAAATTGATCTGGATCAAAAATTTTTTGTCAAAGGGCGCAACATTTTTCAAGTAGAGATGGATCAGACTCATATTCTTCGATAACAGTTTTGAGGTCCCCTTTACCTTATCAATAAATTTAGCTTCCCTCAAAAGACTGTTATTAAATTTCCATGTACCCTTCCCCAAAAACTAGCTCAGAAATCTTAAATCAAGAAATACTGGAGAATGATCTGATCAATAACTGATCCCTATATCTGATGAAGTTACAAATGCTTCTATATCAGAGGTAATCACGAAGTAGTCCAAACCACTTTAGAAGAAAAGATATCTGTAATTGTAAATTCAAGGGTCATGCCTTTCATTATGCAAGTATTTTTCCCCTCATTTGTTTTTTTTTCACCGACAAATGAAACTGTAAAAATTCGGGGCCTCCTGAGTTGCTTCCATGGGCAACTTAGGGTTTCTGTAAAAGGTGATAATTAATAAATTATGTTTAAAATTAAACAAAAAATGTCTTCAATACAGTTTCTCATTTGTATAGATAGTTGTGAACCAAATTTGAAACACAATTGATTTTACATCACTCGGTGATATCGTCAAACATTAGATCGAATTAACATACACTAGAATAACGCATGGCTTTTTAATTAAAATAATAGTAGACAATTGGCAATACCATGGTAAAAACACAATAAGAAAAACAAGCCTTTTAAAAAAATGAGGAGGCAACACACAGACTCTATAGGTTGCATTTCTGTAAATATAGACAATGCAATTTGCCATAGGAACTCCCTTTGCGGCTGAAACGGTGACACTTTTACTATGAAGTTTCGTGAAAAATTATATCCTAAAATAAAAGTTGATATGCACTACTATTTTATTCGAAGGTCCAAACATAGGGCTGTGCGGCATATTTTCATCATGTATATGCCCCGAACTTGTTAGAGTTTAAACTAAGGCCACACCAATGGAATTTAAAATGAAAGTTTACATAGTAATTTAATTCAACAAATAAATCCAACATTATAAAATCTTCTAAAAATAAGAATCTGTATGATTGTCAGTGAGACAACCTTCCACCAGAAACAATATAATAATTGTTTACGTTTTCATCTATAGTTCATGGTATGGCCTTCAACACAGAGCAGTATCTACATGTAGATATATATTCTAAATGTGTTAGGGATCCCTAAATTTATTTTTTGACAGTGACAATCAAAATTACAGACATCGTAGTTCTATATATGTGTACATTGACTGAAGGTGGAAGGGGGAGGTTAAGATCTCACAAAACATGTTTAACACCGCAACATTTTAGCGCCTGTCACAAGTCAGGAGCGTCAGGCCTTTATTAGTCTTGTATGTTTTTTTTAATTTTAGTTCATTTAAATGTGTTGAATTCGGAATTAAGTGTGACGTCCATTTTCACTGAACTAACTGTACACATTTTTATTTTGGGGCCAGCTGATGCACGCCGTCGGGTGCAGGATTTTCCAGCTGTGTTGAAGGCCCATTGGTGGCGTTGGACTGTATTATGCTCTTTAGTCTGGTTGTTGTCTCTTTGACGCATCCCCCATTTTCATTCTCAATTTAATAGATACATTAAGCTTTGATTGCTATAAACTTACAAATGAACTTATAATCTACAGCAAAACAAAGACTAGAAAGTGGAATGAATTGAAATGTTTCTTTTGTTTAGTTAGTTGAAAGCATATGGGATGCATTTGAATAATATAAACAGTATGTTGGAGAACAAATAAAGAGACAAAGAAGGTGATATATTAACTAGGATAGGAGAAATATATAAACATCAAGCATCAGCACTATTAAATATCTGGTCGCTCGCTTACATAAAATTCTTTTCGAAGATTTAAAAAAAAAAATTGAAAAATTATATCGCTCGCTTGTAAAAATTTCCATCGCCTGCCAAAAATTAAAATTAAGAAAAAAAAAACAAATGAAAAAATTTCGCTCGCTCGCGACCTTTTTCAAATTGATAATCCGAAGAATTAGAATTAATTTGGTGTGACCTTATACAAAAATTTTATACTACCTTTACCTTAACTGTTTGCCTAGTTCAGAATTCATTTTCACCGCAATAGTATGTTTTTTATAATGGTAACAGTCCCAAGTTTCGTCTTTATTGGATGAAACATAGAGATCATACCTGGGAACCAGTATGTCAACAAATCAAATTATCTATGAATATTATATATCTCCTCAAAAGAGGCATGGTTTTAGAAACAGCTGTATTTACAAAATGCAACCTATAGGGTGAGGGTTAAGCAATTTAGGTCATTTGTACGTTATTGTTTGTCTTTGCATTTATTTTTGCCGAAAGAGTCGAATGATGTTGACTGCTGTAAAACAGAGGTATATTTGGAAATTCGAGATGTGTCTTGAAACACTTAAAAAGAAGGTCAGAATTTCCTAAAGTTATTGTTTTGAAAATAGAAGAAGGATTCAAGTAACTAACTTATAGAATACTGCAACAGAAAACACCTAAGGACAAAAAATGATAACCTTGAAACTATTGTTTTTTATGTCTTTCGAAAATTTTCAACGAATTTAGGAAAACCTTTTAAACGTATCCACTTAATATGTTATCCCACTTATATGCATTTGAATAACCAAACGAGAGCCTTTAATTACAAAATCTAATACACTATTGCATAAATCGAGGATACGTAATTTGTTATAGCTGGTTGCAAGTCTGTTTACCAAATTGCTGTTCTTGATGTTTAAGCCTGAAACCATGTTATTTCAACAATATTCTTTGACATAAATAGCATAGATCGAAAGAATATGTGATACACCTGACTTGTAAGATTGTTAAATAAAAAATCAATTACTATTATCCGGTTGTGATATCAAGGACTCAGGTGACTGGGATGGTCCAGTTAACCTTACTGTTGAAAGCTTTAGCTCAGGGCTTGTGTCGGGGATTATGTCACTATTACCAGCCGACATTGTAGTATAGCTATCTTCAACGGTTTCTACAACAAAGAATCACAAGATAAATCTTAAACTATAGTTACGTCATTTCCTAATGCTTTTGAAGATTTGAAAAAAATAAAAACAGATACTAGTTAACGTTTATGCTAAGTCTTCAATTTTTTATGTCGTGTTCTGTATACTGTTGTTTGTTGTTTGTGATTTGGCTTTTTGTAGCCATTGTGTCGTCACTTTATGTTTGACTTGAGTTTGAATGTTCCCTTGGTGTCTATCGCATCTATTTAATTACAGATTATCCCCGACCTTGGAATTCAATTACACAGCTTCCTATTGATAAACTTGACCTCTGTGTTGACTGATGACATAAGTGTTTATCTAAAGAAACACCAACCCCCTCCCAAAAAAAGAAAAAAAAAAAAAAAAAAAAAAAAAAAAAAAAAAAAAATCAAAACAGAAAAAAACCGAAACAAAACAAAAGAACAACAAAAAAAAGTTATGTCTGATCTGTTAGTCATTTTGAACAAAAAAAGTATGAGCTGACTTCAAATGTAAGAAAAAACCTAGCTGAAATCTTTTTACGCATGACCTTTTAACTATATACAAATATTAACGCTAAAGAATTTTGTGGTGACAACATCTACCACTGAAGATCTTCACATATTCTTTATTAAATATTTACGTCTTCATTAGTTTGAATCAATGAAGGAACTGATTCATGCAACTAAATTTAAAATGTATTTACATTTCAAATAATAGATAAACCAACAAACAACCAATTATAGTATAAGTACAGCAAGACCCTCTTTAAGTAGAATAAAACAGTATACACGAGTAAAGAAGGATGTACAACCCATTATAACAATACAAGAATATGCTACAGGTATTTACTTACCATATACATCATCATCATTAGACTCCTCAGTTGATCGGCTGGCTTGTATGTTTACCACAGGTTTCACAGGATTCTGCCTTGAACCTTAAATGTAAAACGAAGGACCCTGTAATGTCTTATTACAGATTATCCCTCAACTTGGAATTCAATCACACAGATCGTTATTGACAGTCGAGGCAAATAGGAAATTGCATAATATTATGAAATATCCTAATTTAACACATTATTATGAAACTTCATAATATTAGATAATCGGCTAATTTTGTAACTATATTATGGGATTTCGTAATTCATAAAATTATGGAAATACATAAGATAAGAAAAAATTTATAATTTTAAATATTTTTTTCGGTCGTTTTTTGGGCCCCGTGACTAATTTTGGGAAATTTCTAGAAAAAAAAAGTTATTTTTGAGTGGCGTTTATACCAGGTCATAATGAACAACTGTCAGATTTTCATCGACACGCCTTAAATTCTCCCGACACCACCCTCTTTGTTTGTTGTAAATAATTTAACAAAGGGAGACAACTAGTATCGGTTTAAAATACAACTTGCGGTTATAGTTCTTTGATAAATGGATCTTTTTATTGCTAATCTAAGGTTGAAGGTGTGTTTTTGTTATATTTCTAATCTAATTTGCATGTGATTTACAGCTGCATATTTCATTTTCATTGTTGAAATCTTGAATTGTCTAGTTTAAGACGTTTGAAATGAATATACTTGAAATAGATTTTAAAGGTTTATCTAAACAATTGTCCGTTGTCATATGCATGTTGAAACAATAAAATATCAAAACACCAAATAAAATATTATCTATCAAAGTTTATTTAATGCATAACGATGTATTTGTTAACTAAAATAATGCCAAATAACAAAATTATTTAACAACTAAAATCATATGTCTGATCTTAATTTTGTAAATAGCGATATTTTCTTTACCGCGTGTAGAAACTTTATATTTCTTTTAATTTTAGAATTATTTTTTAAATATTTTACAGTGTTCTTTTGTTGATTTAGGTACTATTAATTGGATCATGGAAGTATTATATTGTCAATAAACTACTTCCATGATCGGATAATTATGATAAGATTAAATCGTAAGATACGGCATTCAAGTGCATAACGATGTATCATGGTTTATTTTCATCACTGCTGTCAAGATATGTAGCGTGTACAACATGTAATAACAACTCATCTTGGTATGATTCAACCACAAAAGTTACTGTTTACAAAAGAAACGATTGTAGAAAATTTATGTTGTAAAAAGGAGTATTTGTTTTAATAACACACATTTGTACATATTTTTAACGAAACAATTGCTATATTACGCACACGTTTTGATTTAAATGATTCATTAAGTTTTAAATATTTTATAATTAAAAACTTTTTTATTGAATTTAAATTTTATGTTCTTTTTATTTAATTTGAAAGTGGTGTTTTGTAAATATCTGCATTTGCATGTCCGTCTGCCTGTTTGTGATTTAGTTAAGAAAGAGAACATAAAAATCAGACAAACTCATTATAATAAATATACATAAGAATAAAGGAATACTTGTATCACAATTATACACAAATTAAGAAATATTTTTGTATCAGAAAATTATATAAATATAACGTGAAAATTGATATGGAATAGAACTATTTTAATTGAAAGACTACGCTTTCGATAATTTTAATTTACAGGGAAGTGGCAAAGTAGGGAAGAGCAACAAAAAAGTTCATACAATTGCGAAACTCTCGAGTCAAGTAGACAAAACGATCTTTCGGCTTCAAAATGATTTACTTTGAAGAAGAAAAAAAAATAGTGCTGTTTTACGAAATCGTTTATCGAATTTCAGTATATGATAAAGTTTCTTTAATTGACAAAAATATGGGGATTTTGAACTTCAATCTAGTAAGGTGATTATTTAAGATGCTTGCGTAGAAAATTATTATAGACTACATAATTATGATAATAAGAAATCGTCATATTATACATTTATTTCAATATGGTAGTTTGTAAAGATCTAACCAATCTTTCACAATGCTCAAACAAGCGCTTACTCTGGAAGTGTTTTTTTTTCGGCTACATTAACAGGGACCCCAAAGGGTGACTGGGGGATAGAAGTATGGTCACGTAGTCTTCTTTCGACCGGCAGTAAAACGCTTGACAAAGTCCTTTTGGCTGTGCGGGATGTACGTATTTTCAGTCACATCCAGTCAGAATGGGGACGTTAAGTCTGATGCCTCATGTAAAGAGAGTGTAACGCTATCAGTAAGTTAAGAACCCTTAAAACAACTCTTTGAGGGGTCCGTAGGTGGCCTGTTGCAAGGCAAAATTTCTGTCCCTATCAAAAATACTCTCATTTTACAGTGCCAGTCCAAATTTCCCCGACCTTCATCCTGGATGGCCACTTATACAAGACCTGCCTATTGTATTTATTGTTAACTTGTTCTCGTCCTAAACATGCATTAAATATTTTTCGTAGATTCATGGTATACCGCCATCTTGGATTGTACAATCGCAGTACACAATCGGTCTAGATCTTTGCCTAAATCTACAAATTTGGAGACAAATAGGCAATTTATAGGTTAGACTGTTTATTTGATGAAAGAAAACTTTGTGATTTATTGCATTATCCAAAATGTTTAAATAAATACCAAATAAATGTGTTTTTAGAATCATTTTTTCAACTTGGCCATTTAAGGGGAGATAACTCTTTTAGTAAAAAATTTATACTGGACTGATAGGGAAATTTTAATTTTTTACTTGTAGCAAGAAAACAAGTTCGGTGACACCATTTTTTCTTTTTATTTTCTTAAAGCATATAATAAAACCTATCTTTTCATATTTTATTTCAAAATTCTATCTCATAGATTTCTTTTTATGCACAAAAGTGTGTTTTTTCATGAACAATCTAAGCAAATTTGTGCAATTTCATACGACCCGTAGCTTGAAAAATAGCACGGTGACCCATACTTTTTATTATATTTTTGGAAAAGGCATAGAAAAATCTTTATTTTGGCAAAGTATAAAAAAATTCTATCTGAGGAAATATATACCTATGATCTACCTTAAGCAACGAAAAATCAATCAATCAATAATTACCAGTTTATATATATATATATATATATAGGTTTATTCTTCTCCTCATTGTTATGCAATGATATGTGCATAACACTCGGCATTTTACTTTGCAGTAAGTACACAGGGTGGTTAATTTTAATACATGTACTTTTCTTTATTTACAACAGCTTATTCCCTTAAATCTAACATAAGAAATAGAAAGAAAAAATAATGTTTGCGTTATATCGCACAGGTTTGCCTTATTTCGCAAATGTTTGCGTTAGTTCGCAAAGGTTTGCATTATACGCAATTGTTTGTGTTATTTCGCAAAGGTATGCATTATAACGCAAACATTAGGAGACATATAAGAAAACAAATGTATGGGACTTTTACGCTTCCGTAAAATAACGACAAAAACGAAGTTAAATCTTAAATGACATTGCCTGTTTATCTATTTTTATTCATGGGTAGATCAAAACATTTTTTTAAGACTCATCGTTAAAGGCCATACGGTGACTGTTAGTTCTTATCCTCTACGTATTTTGGTCTATAGTGGACTGTTGTCTCATTGGCAGTCTTACAGCATTTTCGTTTTATAGTTATTATATGAATATCTTTCGACAAAACCGTATTAATATATAATAGATATCTACCCAGTATATAATACTGCTTCCTGTTTGTTTTCATTAGAAATACGAGATTGCAAGTGTCGTCCGTATCATACTTATTTATTATGACATTCTTCTATTGAGTATTTATACCTTGTTATGAATCCAGGAGTTTCGTACATATTGTGCCGAATGTAGGTTTATAATTTATTATAATTACTTACCATACACCACTAGATCGGTATAAACATTGTTTTACCTTTTTAGTTTAATGTTATTTCTATTTCTTTCGAATGTAAAATGGTAGAAAGAAAAACAGTTGATGAAACCCATTTGAATAACGTATACAGGATGTACAATGATATATTAAAATGTCTATAGAAGTTGGATCTTTGAACGTGTAGTTGCATATACATTGTACACAAAGATACTGTTAAATGAAATTAGATATCCTGCATTTATCATGCTTTTCAATTATATATGGTCGAATCGCAGAAAGATCCCTCCTTTAAAGTATTGACAACTACAAATCTGCATTGACAATAATATATTGGTGTACATTAGATACACCCATTTGGACTAACGCCCTCAAGGTGTATATAAAACAAACAAGTATAAATTAATGTCTACAGAAATGGAAATAATACATGTACATGTAACTGTGCGTATTGCTTTTTGTTTCTTTATTCTACATTGGCTAGAGGTATAGGGGAAGGGTTGAGATCACACAAAACATGTTTAACCCGGCCGCATTTTTGCGCCTGTCCCAAGTCAGGAGCCTCTGGCCTTTGTTAGTCTAGTATGTTTTTTTAATTTTAGTTCACTTATATGTTTTGGAGTTTAGTGTGACGTCCATTTTCACTGAACTAGCACACAATTTTAGTTAGGAGCCAGTTGAGGACCACCTCCGGGTGCGGGATTTTCTGCATTGAAGACCTATTGGTGGCCTTCGGCTGTTGTCTGCACTTTGGTCGGGTTGTTGTCTCTTTGACATATTCCCCATTTTCATTCTCATTTTTATATGTAACACATGGTTAGAAGATGTCAGGAATTATGTACAATTGATCCATAATAGCTTAATATTCGATGAAGTTGAAATTAAAATTGCGAAAAAAAAAGACAGATGTCAAATGATAAGTTGAACAGTCACAATAGTCAGACAAATAAAAATATAACTATGATGAATATAAACAATAATAAAATATTGATACAAACAATATTTTCTCTTAATTCAAAAACGATAAAATCCATATATCATGTGTTTTTATTATCTACATTATGAGTAAACAGGACATCTGAAAACATACCATATAGCTTTGATTTATCGAAAAAAACAAGATTGTGCATTGTGTTTTTTAATACAAACTGGGAACCTGTCTACAATCTAAATTATGCAAGAAAAAAGAAGCATAACAAAAAAGCAGCGTATTT